TAATATTTCAGTTCCAGAAGAAACTTAAGTACCTGAAATTATTGAAAATAAAGAGATCTCAATAAATTGTCATGAATGAAATACCATGAAATCAAAACAGTATGTCAATATTGATGACGTGTTTGTATATAATATAGCGCTAAATATAATAAATGATATTGAGGATCAAGTGCCAAAGTCCATATATCAACGATTGTCGATAAAGAAATGATTGGCCAAAATTGAAAGATGCAATTGAAACAGAATTAGACTCGCTTGCTAAGCGAAAAGTTTTTGGACCACTATTATGTACACCAAAAGGTGTAAAACCAATTGGACACTAATGGATTTTTGTGCAAAAATGAAATGAAAATGGTGAAATTGTGAGATACAAAGCAACACTAGTTGCTCAAGGTTTTTCACAAAGACCCGATATTGATTTTGAAGAGACATATTCACCTGTAGTGGATGCAAGTACTTTTCGATATTTAATTAATTTGGTTGTACATGAAAAACTTAATTTACACTTAATGGATGTAGTTATAGCATATTTATATGGCTCTCTTGATGCTGACATTTATATGAAACTCCCATAAGGATTTAATTTGCCTAACGATGCAATTTCTAGAGAAGATTATTTGATCAAGTTGAATAAGTCCCTATATGGGCTAAAGCAATCAGGTCGTATGTGGTATAATCGACTTAGTGAATATTTGTTACAAAAAGGATATAAAAATGATCCAATTTGTCCGTGTATATTTATAAAAAGATCTGAAAATGGATTTGGCAAATTGTAGTTTATGTAAATGATATAAACATCATTGGAACTCCTGAAGAGCTTTCAAAAGTAATAGATTGCTTAAAGAAAGAATTTGAAATGAAAGATCTAGGAAGGACAAAGTTTTGTCTAGGACTACAAATTAAATATTTAAAAAATGGAATTCTTGTACGTCAAGAAACTTATATAACAAAGGTACTTTAAAAGGTTTTATATGGATAAATCACATCCATTATGTACTCCCATGGTTGTAAGATCTTTAGATGTTAACAAAGGTCCATTTAGACCCCAAGAAAAGGATGAAGAAATACTTGATCCCGAAGTACCATATCTCAATGCTATAGGAGCACTAATGTACCACTACAAAAAAAACACATATTACCGACAGACTTTTTTCCCACAGATAAATATCCATATGAAAAATGACATTACCGATAGATTTTTCCGACGGATATGTGTTTGTCTGAAACATAACTGATTCTGACGGATATTACCTACATATTTTTTCGGTCTAAAATTTCATATGGATGTTACCCACGGATATTTTTCGTTGAAAAATTATGATGTTTCAGACAGATATTTTTCACGAGTTATTTGTCTAAAACATTATTTGTAGAAAAAGAAAAAAAATCGTTGGTAACTTTAAAAAATTTAATGATAAAAGATTAACAAATTAAATTCTTAAATACTTAACTAATTTTTTCATGCTAATTAATTTACTATACCAATTATTATATATATAAAATTTATAATTAAATGATAGTATAAAATAATAATTTACTATCAATATATTTTCATATTATATAGTTAATTTTATTTAAATTGAGAAATATATAATTAGTGAAATAATATTGATGCATGATAGTCTAAAATTAAAAGATAATTTCTCAACATTTATAGTAATTTTACCAATTTTGAACTATATTATTTTTAATAAAACAAGATTATTATTTAATACAATTTTAAAATGCTTTTTTAAAAATATTATACACAATACTCATGAAATTATCGACGGATGTATCTGTGGGTAATTATTTTTTATTAATAATTTATTTTAAAAATAATAAAATTAATTCATTAGTAATTATAATAAATAAAAATTAAATTAGATAATTATCCACGGAATTACCTATGGATATATTTGTGGGTAATTACCGATGGATAAATTCATGGGTAATTATCCACGGATAAATCCGTGGGTAATTATTATTTATTAATAATTTATGTTAAAAATAATAAAATTAATTTATTCTTAAACCAGAATAGCCCGTTCCCAACTAGGTTTACAAGCCTTTTTGGTCGTTTGGAACGCCCCGTTCTCAACTAAGATTTGTAAGCAATTTTTGTATTTTGGAACGGCCCGTTCTAGGCTATTAAATCACCCTTATTAGGCTTTGAACCTTCGTACAATCTGTGAAAATCGGGCTGTTGTAATTATTTTTTATTAATAATTTATGTTAAAAATAATAAAATTAAATTATAAGTAATAATGATAAATAAAAATTAAATTAGATAATTTTTTTAAAAAAATATATATATAATTCTTCTCGTTAAAGAAAAGTCTCTAAAAACGTTATGCCACAAGAAATACATTTGTGCTTTATATATAGAAGTTAATTATTCTTTGATTAGTTACTATTTTTAGTTTAATATATATTTACACAAATTTTAAATATGATTTATTGATTTAACTATAATATTTATTTTTATATATAATTTATTATAAATTTTAATTATATATAATAAAAATGTAACTTGTGAAATACACAGACTAAAATATTAATATTTTTAATTTAGATAGTATTATATTATATTATAATTTTTGAAATATACTGGAATGAGAGGATTCAAAAATTATACAAGTATGAGATTATATAGTTGAAAATGACTTAAAGGAATTAATTTGTACTATTTATATCAATGAGATGCATCTACTCTTTGGTAGCTTATTCCTTAAGAACTTTACAGTTAAGCGTGCTTGACATGGAGTAATTTAGGGATGGGTGACCTTCTGGAAAGTTTTCCAGAAAAATGCGTAAGTGACGACAAGGCACGCTGAAAAGTCTTGTGTTGATTTGTGGGGTTTGTGGGGTTTGTGGGGTCAATCTTTGATCCTAAAAGCGGATGAATATCTCAAAAATGGTTACCCATAAAGGGTTTTACTTGGTGAATGGTTCTGACCAACGAGGAGTTATGTGAAGTATTGTAGAGTGGAACTGCTGAAAGGTCAGATATGAGGGATGTTGCACTAAATAAGGATGTTATTTAATATAATTTGGAAATGAGGTATTGCCCACAGATTTTTTGGATAACCCACGAATTTTAGTTGTCTGTAATTTTAAAATTTCTTGTAGTGTACCCTACTAATTATACACGATTTTATATAGCATTTGTTGTTAATTTGTTAGTAAGATATAGTTCTACATGAAGACATTGGAATGGAGTTAAACAAATCCTTCGTTATCTTAGAGATATAATGGATATGGGGTTATTATATTCAAATGTTTCCAAACTAGAACTAAATGGTTATGCAGACGCAGGTTATTTTTCAGATCCTTATAATGGTAAATCACAAATAGGATATTTGTTTACAAGTGGTGATACAGCCATTTCATGGCGATCTGTAAAACAAACAATATCAGTCACTTCATCTAATCATGCTGAAATTTTAGCATTAAATGAGGTAAGTCGTGAACGTGTTTGGCTAAGTTCTGTGATTCAACACATACGGGAAACTTGTGGTTTATCTTCTGGAAAAATGACATCGATAGTTATATATGAAGATGATGTTGCATGTATTGTACAATTGAAAAATGGATATATAAAGGAAGATAGAACAGATCATATTCTACCAAAATTCTTTTTTACTCATGATCTTCAAAAGAATGGTGATATAAATGTTCAACAGGTACGCTCAAGTGACAACTTAGCAGATCTCTTTATAAAGTCACTTCCAAGAAAAGTTTTTGAACAGTTGATACACAAGACTGGACTCCGTCGTCTTAAAGATTGTATGTATGAGGGGGAGAAATAAATATTTACGAATTATGTACTCTTTTTCCTTCACTAGGTTTTTATCCCATAGGATTTTTCCTAGTAAGGTTTTAACAAGACACATTCTAAATATTGGACATCCAAGGGGGAGTGTTATGAATAATAATTAGTGACTCAATTAGTGAATGCCAATATTCATTATCAATTATTACCATTTATATTTTCGTTATGTATTATTTCCTTTTTGTGTAATTGTTTAGTTACCACATGTACTTATAAATAGGTTAGTCATCTCCCAAAGATAATATATGAGTCAGATTTTTTTCTCCATCTTATATTGTCTTATTTGTTCTCTCTACTTTTTCCCTCTTTTATAACAAGAGTTAATCATCCGTACACTTATAGTGTAAAAATTTTTACATTGACAACCAATCATATCGTTTAAATTATTTTATTTTATTTTTAGTTCATTAAATAAGTAAATGACATGACACTATTAAAAGATATGATTGGTTGTTAATGTAAAAAAATTTTATACTAGCAGTGTATAGGTGATTAAGAGATGAATTTTTTATTTATTTTTTAATTTAAGAGGCTTCCTTTATTGAATCAGGATTTTGGAAATGGTAGATATAATATTTAAAAAAAAGGTTTATATAATGCAAATACGTTTAAGTTCGAAGTTTCGAATTTAGTAATGAAAATTGTAAAATTGGATCCGGTCTATTTCTACCTTTACTTATGAGCTTTAAATTGAAATTTGATATAACTAAAAGAAAAAGAATAAAATAAAATTGAAAATATCAATTGGACCTCTTGAATAGAAATTCAATGAAAAGCCTATAAAATTCAAAACTCGAACAGGAAGCTTCTGTACTTTTCTATTGGAATTAAGTTTAGTAACTTAGAATATAGCTCTCTCCCCAACAAAGTTACATGTCAATCATCTCCATTTTTTAGGTGATGATGCATTGTAAAGTTTGCCCTTTAATTAACTCCTAAGATGGAAAACTTCTAGTAGCTAGCTGGTTTTGTTAAGCATGTGACACAGAATTCAAGTAGCTATTATTATATCCTCCTCCTCCTTCTTTTTTATTTTTTATTTTTTTTAATGAACTGGTTAATATATTCTTTATTTAGAAAAACGAAGAAAACTTCTAATTACCATTGGAAAACGATAATTTCCATGTTCCTCAGCCCTATAAATAGGAAACATGCACCCTCATAGCCAAGTCAATAGAAAATCAAAGAGCCTCCAATAAAACAAATCCATACCCCAAAAAAAGAGGCACCACCATGTCTATGGATCCAAAGAAATCTAACAAGATCAGAGAAATTGTTAGACTTCAACAGATCCTCAAGAAATGGAGAAGGATAGCCAACTCATCGAAAACCACCACCACTGGCACTGCTTCCTCCACCACTACCAGCAAGAGCATGAAGTTTCTAAAGAGGACACTTTCCCTATCCGAACGTGAAGGAGGGTCAAACAACGTTGTCCCAAAAGGGTACCTAGCTGTTTGTGTTGGTGAAGAGATGAAGAGGTTCACTATTCCAACTGAATATTTAGGTCACCAAGCCTTTGAGATTCTGCTGAGAGAAGCAGAAGAAGAATTTGGGTTTCAACAAACGGGTGTTCTGAGGATTCCTTGTGAAGTGGCTGTGTTTGAGAGTATCTTGAAGATGGTGGAAGGAAAGGAGGACAAGTTTTCCTCTCAAGAATGTAGACTCAGCATTGAAGAGATCATGATGGGGTACTGCACAGAAAACCAACTTGCTTATTCTCACCATCCTCAAAGTCCATTGTGCAGATAGTATAGTATTTTGCATTTTTATCCTTTTCTTTTTTTGTCTTTTGTTTTACTTTGTCACTTACAACTTATCCAATGTATGAGAGAGAGAGAGACTGTGAAGAGAGTGAGTTCAATTAGATGTAAGAGAATCACCCTTTTGGGATTCATGAAGCAAGGAATATGATTGTGACTTTCATTGTCCAAAACACTAATTCTAAACCTTATTGTTTGAGATTGTCTCTGCTCCATAATTAATTCTATAGCTGAAAGTTTTGGCATTCTGGAATTTATTCAATACATGAACCTTCTGATCCCACTATTATGATTTTGTTTGAATTATCTTTCAACTTCAAAAAAATTCAGTTGAATGCGAAAGTTACAAATAATTACTTCTTCATTTAATATTTAAGAATAAGTAAAATCTGATTTATTTCATTACAAACAAATTCCCAAACAGGCATTATATATCAAAAACTTATCATATGATCACTAAAAAAACGCCTCATGTATTTCATGGAAAAAACTTAAAAGCAATTGCTAAAATGTTTATGGTAATGTTTTTTTAATCAGAAATGGAGTTTCATTTCAATAATTTGGATAATGAAATTATGCATTAAAGATCAATATAAGTTAATAAGTTAAACATCAGTTTTAATTGAAGAAAATACTAAAAGCATAACTACACATAAGATTTTTCTTTTTTTTCATCCGGTGCCAAATTAATTAACTAGTGATGCAGTTACTTAAAGCCCCTCCCTTCTAAGTGACTCAAATTGCAGAAGTATTGGATCATGATAAACCGATAAAGCATTCATCAATTGGAACATGAGACGAGGGTCAAACCAAGAGAGAGAGAGAGTGTAGTTGCAATTTCCAAGTAGAAGTATTTTAAAATAATTTTCTTTGAAGATATAAACATGTTCTCAGGTAAATACTAATAGTACGTGCTCTCTAATTTCTATACAGTGAAGAGCACAACTGGTCAATTGACCGTTTGTTCAAAACATACTACATTAGGAACCTTGCCAACATTGGTAAATACTGTTAGTGAACTTATTTTATTAGTTATGAAAATATATAAATACAATTTTGTATTTCAAATATCAACTATTTAAAATATAAATTACTGAAGACTTGTGTTTTAAGGTTATTCACTGGATATATTTCATGTGACTTAATTAATTCTACCTTTCAAGACTGATTTAAAAGGAAATATGACAAGAATTTACCTGAAATACAAGATCATGTAATTTTTTTATAATAATTTTATATAATAATGAATTACTAAATAATTCAAGTTTATTAATTTAAATAGTATTTATTTTAAATTCATGTTAAAACAAATTTTAATTACTATATAAAGACACTAATAAACCAAAATTAAATACACGTAACAAGCAAGTTGTGATAAAAAAAAGTTCAATTTGGTATGCTTAACAAGGTTATATACTCAAAGTCAAAGGTGTGCATAGAGTCTAGCATCGTTGCAGAAGATGCTTTAACATTATCTCTCTGACAAGATTTAAGTCACGTATTCAGTCATTGATTTTTTTAATAAACTAATGATTTAGAACAGTTAGCTTATAGGGGATTAAAGTGGTCCACCTTAATTATTGCCTTGTGAATGATTGATTGATGCAACTCTGAACATCATCGGTCTTGTATATTGCTAGTAATAAGAAACTAATAAATAAAAAATTATAAAAATATACTAAAATACATTAAAATTCATGATAAAAATATATCAATAATACTTTTTAATAAAAAATTATTTTAATTTTTTTGACATATTATTAAGATGAAATATTCATATTTATCAAAATAAATAAATAAATAAAATATTTTTTCTTAACATAATTTATTTTATACTTATTATGAAGATTTAAATTTTGAAAAATTTATTAAGTATTACTACTTATGTTAATATTATTTTGTTTTGAAATCTTATAGACACTGATTATTAATATTTACTGATATCATTAATGTTTTCTTATCCTCCTTTTTTTGTGTTGAAGGTTAACCTCATGTGGGGTGGGTTTATTTAAATGATGAGTGACTAGGACTGAGATCCTACAAGTACATTTTATGAATACATAAACATATTTTTGATAGGTTCTGACTGCATTGTTTTCCAACGCAAACCGCCCTAACAGTCAGGGTACCCTCGTACATTACAATTGTACTGTTCAAACCTCATGGCTTAATTATTTTATTGCTATGCTTTTCTATTTTAACTGAGTTTATGGTCATTAACAAAGTCATTTTTAGGATTTCCAAGAGGAAGCATGTGACATAGCATTAATGATACACAAATGCTGGCGGAATCAGTTTCTAGACTTTAATTTCCTAACTCCATGTTCAACTTTTAACTTAAATAAGTGGAAACTCTTGTGCACAAGTTTAATATTGTACTAGTAAGTTCAGTGCCATGTGTTGTCATGTGGAAGAGCAGCATAGCACAAGTAACACGATGCCTAAACTTGTACCTGAGGATGAACTATATAAAATTAAAAAAAATGAGAAGAAAGAAAATAAATGAAAATGAGTAAGTTTTATAGTTTTTTTTAGAAGGGTTGGAAATTGAAAGAAAAATAAGAAAAGAAAAATAAAACTGATTTGGTTAAATAAAAAAAATATTTACACTTTTCTTTTTTACTTTTATGATAGAAATAAAAATGCATAAAAAATTGGTAATTTAAAAGGTCTATTTTTAGTCTTTTCATAAAAAGGTTACATTGCCCATCACTTTTTTTTTTATCCACAATATTATATAACAACAATAAAAGCTTCATTTCACTATAATATTTTTGTCCACACGTACGAGTGAAAAAAAAATTATCACATGGATTAGGAAAAAAAAATGGAACTATTCCAACCCGCCAATATAATTTTATGTAACTTGTAAACAAATTTGAAATATATGAATAACTAAGTTAACTTGACAAATCAAAATTTATTTTCCCAACACTATTACATTTATTAGTAAAAGGAGCAAAAGGAAAATAGTTAAATTTTCTTAAAATATTACATTAAACAAATTAACTATCAAATCAGAAATATTAATTATATTTATTAAATTTCATGTCAAAATTTTAAATGTCAAACAAAATGAAATGAAAAGAATAATGGTTACAACTATGACTTAATACGTATAGGACAACTAATTTAGAAGTTCTTTTCATACTATTTTGTTTTTTAAGGGCAACTTAATCATACCCTATTTTAGGATTTACATGATTTGAACATCAAATTTTCAACAATGTATTTTACATCTTAATTTTACTTTTCTTGTCGGTGGATGTAATTTAAAGTTTCTACAAACAGGACAACAACAAATATATCATTTTTTATATATAATTTTATTCCAATTTTATTTAAGTAATTTTATTTTAATTATAATAGTTTGAATAATTTATAAAAGGGAAAATTAAGAAGAAAAAAATTAACATTACATTAAAAAGTGACAATATTATTTATTTTAAAACATTTTCAAATGTTAAAATTGTAGTTATTATGAAGGAGTATTTTTTTTCCTCATAAATATACATCTAAGAATTATACTTCAAAAGAATTACAAAAAACCAATGCTGTCCTAAATTTTTTTTACAAATTAAAACATTATTGTTTATTTTCCAATCCGGTTAATTAGCTAATTATCATCTTCATTTATTTTATAATAATTGTTTAAATTTTTTTAAACAGAAAAATAAATATAATAAATTTATCTATTTTTCATAAAATGATTTGATATTTTTCATCATATCCTCTTTTATTTTTATTTTATAATAAATACGTATTAGTTATTATGTATAAATTAATTAAAAATTAGATAATATATAAAGATAAAATCAATAATATTATAATTAATATTATTTTAAAATAAAAAATAACAAGTAAATAAAAATAAAATTTTACTAAAAATCTGATTAATAAAAAAGTAAAGGGACTAATTGAGTGTTCGATACTTTCTCCAATGACTATTTCACAAATTCCAATGTCGCATTATATGAGAAGCAACAAATTTTTACTTCCAATTCGATGTACATTCAAACAATATTAATATAATTTTTACTAATTATTATACGTTCAATAATTCAACTATTAAATTATAATTTTATATATTTATAT